GCAGCATCATGCTCCTATGATGCTGCTTGGCCTGCTGTGTTCATCCAGCCCTGCACCTTGTTGTCTTGGATTCTCCAGCATCTGCAGTTCCTACTATCTCTGATTCAGCCTGAATACACTAGCTAACAGTTATGTTCATGCAACAACAAGAGGAATTTTGCAAACTCATCCTCAGCCTCTTGTCCTGTGCTATTTAAAAGGATCATCAGTTACTTTCAGGTTAATTTTTGACTGATTTCTACATGTTAAGTTCATCAAAGTGTTTGGTGGTTATAGTGCTGTGTAAAGTTGCTGAAGTCCTCGAGAGAGTGCTACAACACATTTTGGTTCTCACTTCAAAAGGTCTTCTCAGATCACTTGCTCCTGGGCATAAGTGTTTTGGTTTCTAATTCTCTTGGCCTACAGTGTGATTGGGAGGTTTAACAGAAATGGTACAGAGGAGAGAAGTGGCCTAAAAAGGGAGGAAGAAAGATGGGTCACATTCACCTACGAGTCTTCAGGGAATACTTCTTGTACATGACCTTCAGTGAGGAACAGTGGGTGGAAAATCTTCACTTAGTGAAGGAGATGCTTATTGAAATCTGTCATCTGCTGCAGGTAACCCTGTAGTGCCACAGCAGGGAGGGGACAACATTGTCAGTGGCTATGAAGGTGAATGCAACTGTGAGAATTTTTTTGCATCAGTCCCCTTCCAGGCTGAAGCAGGTGATATTTCCAACATTTCGCAGTTCACCAGTCACTATTGCTTGGGGGCAGTCGGGAAGTTCTGTATATAAAGGTAGATGAATGAATTTCATTTTCTCTTGCCATGGAAAGCATGTGGAGCAGGAATGCAACTTCTCCAGACAAGCAAATGCTGCAGGAAGCTATTGGCTACCGAAAGCCTGCTTTGAAAATACTACATGTAAGATTTGAGAATTACCACATCCAGGAGGAGTTCTGGTCCCTCAGTTGGTGTGGACCCAATTGGAGCACATTATCCAGGTGACTGCTTGGTATCCTTGTAGCAGTAATAAAACCTTTGTTCTGTATCAATCCACTTTTCCATTAACATTGGAACAACCAGAAGAAAACAGAACATGGCTGCTGAGTTGCAAAATGTATCCACTCACCACCGGGCTCATGACTCCAGAATGCAACTCACTCCTCCTTCAATTAATGATCTCATCACTACATCCTTACATCTGGTTTTACACCTCCTTTTCTCCTTCTTCCTACACTCTGCTTCCGTTTCCACCAATCATTCACCGCATCTTCTCTCTCTCACGGTAAATTATAACCGTGGTCTTTTAATCTTTCCCTGATTACTTTATTTCAACATCCACAGTTTTCATTAACCATCTTACTACTTCCTAATCTCATCCTTCCTCACTCTGTATATCCATCTTGGCATCCAATTCTCATTTCTGTTCAGTCATTGTTACTCTCTTCTTGATGTTGCTCGCTACCTAACAAGGTTAGTTTCACAACTGTCTTCCTTGCAGTTTTAGCAGTACCTTCCATCATTCAACAGTTCATTACATGTCTTCCAACTACTCCAACTGGCATTAATCTGCTGTTTAGTTTGCATTCACCTCTTTCATCTTCACCTACAACTGACACCAGATACTTGAAGCAACTCATTTCTCTTCGTCCATCGTTTCTCACAACTCTTGTTCATCTATCTTGTTGCAATTTTTTTTTCTTCTTTAGTATGAAGACTTTCAAATATTCCTTCCACGGTCAGAAATCTTCCTCTTGCAATCACTTTCTTTGCATTCCTTTTCGTCTTTTTGTACTGCTCTTTATTTTCTTGAGACCTAACTGTTTCCACTTCTTTAATAAGTTCCTTCTTTAGTTTTACTGCACTTTCTGTCATTTGATTACATTACAAGGTTTATTTACCAGCCCTGTTCTGGTCTGCTGATCTCCTTTCACACTTCTGCACTCGGTTTTCTCATCACATCTGCCACTGAGTTCTACTAGTCTTCCACAGAGTCTGTATGACTTTGTTCTATTTCTCTTAGCTGTCTCTCCATCTGCTATCTTAATTTTTCTGCAACTTGCAAATTTTTGAAATGCCACCACCAGATGTCCTGTCTACCTCTCGACTTCTGCTGACTTGTTTACTTTGCACAGAACTCTGCTACCAGCTGTCTATTTTGAGCAGTCCTGCTTGCAAAGACTTTGCAGTTCTTCGATTCCTTCGCATGTTCTGTACTAACCATACTGTAGTTCAGCTGTCTTTCACTATCACTTCTGTTGTAGTTTAGGAGGAATCTTCTGCATTTTTTTTATCATTACCTGTTAGCACAACAACAAATTCCAGGATCTTGGCTGTTTCTTTCATTTGCTCCCTCAAACTGTTTCCATCATGAATAACCTCATAGCTTTCATTGTGCACAAGCACAATTGTTGTAACAAGTTTCGTATACTTCCCACTTTAAATAGATCACCTATTTCCCCTGGCCTGTTACTGCCTATGGTTTGAACTGTGTCGTTCAGATTTCTTCTTTCTCCTCCAGTCTGCAATTACTCTGTGATGTACAACAACTGATCATATTCTGCGTTTCAGCTGTAATTGATAATTTGGATTATTTTGTCACTGATTCTGCTCACTGCGTTTGCTTCTGCTTTTGTTGTGTCGCCTTTATAATACGTATTCTGCAAACATTTTTATGGGTACAACTAACCAAACCAGGATGGCTTGCTGAGATGACCTGATAATGTTAAATGGGAAGAATCTAACAATGAGTCTTGAAGATTCAGTATTGGGGTTGTAGCTATTCCTATTGGTAACCTGTTCCAGGGATTTTTCTTGTGAGTAAAGATTATTGATGCAGTGTCTTGGAAACAACTGAATTTTATAGCTTGAGTGGATGACTACTTCATTTTTGACATTTCCTGAGGACAGTACATATTGATATCTGTCAATTCCCAGTCTGTTACATATCTTATAGAACATGTAGGTATATTTTTTCCCTCATTCGCCGTAGTGATCCCTACACCAAATCTTTAATCACGGATGTGACACTGGTGTATTTCCCGTACTGAGAATTGTGCAGCAGGTTTTGGATTGCTTCAGTTTTATTATTATTTCTCAAAGGATCCTACATACAACCTGCATTCTCCAGGATTGGACAGTCATTTGTTTGGTAAGCTATAACATTGATATTTTCATTGCAATGCCCAAGGGTCCTTCCTCTGAAATCCAAGAATCCTGTTTGCCTTGGATGTTTTTTGCTGAATGTGGAATCCTCATCAAAGATTATTTTTAAGGTAAACCCCCAGGGATTGTCGTGCATCTGCCTTTTGGAGAATTAGATTACAGAACTTAGTTATCTGTAATTGGACCCTTTTCCTTAGCAATGTGCATGACATAGTATTTTTTTTAGCAGTGTGTGCCATCTCCTTTTCATCCTGGAATTTTTTTTCAATTCCAGAAAATGATCTTGCAACGAATTGATATGATTTTGAGTTTTATTCCTTTTGCATATTCCATCTAGTCATCTGAAAACACACTGTTTTTAACTTGTTGTGTAGGTCCTTTATGTGTTTCAAGAAGACTAAAGGTCCTAACACAATGGTAAGGGGCGCTCCAGAGAGGACATCTCTAGGAGAGGATGATTCCCCATCATACACCACTCTTTCTCTTCTGTTGGTGAGGAAATAGAGGATCAAATTTAATAATGACCCCCAGTTCCACAGGAGTTTGGGCAGGACTTGTCATGAGGAATTTTGTGAAAGGCTTTTGAGAAATCTGGTATTGCCATGTGAGTAGTTTAATCTCTTTTGAGACTTAAAGCTTGATTATCGACAGTCTGTAAAAGCTGTTTCAATAGATTTCTTCACCTAAACAAAACATGCTACCAACCTTACACTTATGAACTTCGAAGAATTTTATAACATGAGAATGAACGTTATGTTCATTTCTTCACCTAATATTAGGCCAACACCATTTCTTCTCTAATTCTGTCCGCTATCGATTTATCTTACTTCATTGCCTTTCAGCTTTGTTTTGTGGAGACCAGTGATTTGTATTCCTTTTCTTACCATGAGAACAATTACCTCACTGCTGATTCCTGTTAGGCTACCAGTAATTCATCTTGCTGTTTTGAGTGTGGTCAACTTTTTACTTCTTTGATTTTCTTCTGGAGTGAGTCATGACCTTCAGACTGAGTGGCAAGACTGTCACTACACAATGAGACCAGACTAGCACTTTAATGATGTTGAAAATTAAATATAAAATGAATACGAGATGGAATATTTATGCTCAAAGACTAATAAATGTCAAGTGAGTAAATAGAGATGCAAACATTGGGTGTTTTCAAAGTATCAATTGATCCAAAGAACAAAAGAAAGGCTAGTTTCATTGAATTTTAGGTTCATTGCTCTTTTATTCTCATCTTCTCTGATGTACAATTTTTATCATTGACACAGACTTCATTGTATTGACATAGCAGTCTGGAGTTAGGTTTTCTTTTGCTTTGAGTAACTAAAATATCTTCAAACTATTTATTTGAAAAGCAAAATGCCAGTATATTACTTTGGGATTGAAACTTGTTACAACTGCTGTAAGCCTATGTACAACGAGTTTACGTTTTCTTTAAACTTTTAAATTGCATGTTCTTTTCTCAAATACACATGTTGGCTTCCTCTGCAATTGTTATAGACATTATGATCAGTGCCTTTCATTTTCACCAGATGGAAAGTGTAACTGGGTGATGACGACAAGGTTCTCAAAATTAAGCCTCATTGTAATAAAGGATGAAATGTGGTCTGGAAGAAGTCTGGCAGAGTTAAATTGTACAATATCATGCAAAAGATTAATTATTTCATGTGATTCTCCTGATCAAAATATTCTTAGTTTTCATTGCACAATTCAAAGTTGGTGTTGGTTGCTAACAGTTAGCATTACCAGTTGGGACATATGTGGAACAGCAAGTGGGGAAATACAAATGTTTACTTAAGATAGGTAATAGTTAAGTAATGAATTGACATTATCATGAAAAACTGACTACATTAACATTCACAGATATGATTCTAAAATTACCTCTGAGTATCGTTTGCATTGATCTTTTGTCTTGTTATTTTCAGTAAAATATTCCTAGAACAAAATATCCCTTTGCCCAACCTGCAATGGATGACTGTTACAAATCTCATAATCCTTTCTGGTGTCAAATAGACAATAACTTTGTCGCGTTGGTAATGAATAAAGAAAAATCCTTATTAGTTTTTACTCTATCAAAGATTGGTTTGCTTCAATGGTTAAAAAAAATGAGCAATATGAAATTCTAGCAATTTGCATCTATAAATTCTAAAAGTTAGAGACTATCAATTGTATTGGTCCACCCTCTGACATTACTATAAACAATCTGAATAAAAAGCGTCAAACTTAACCAATTTTCAGTACGTTAATACCACAATTTCTTTTTTATTAATTCATTCCTGGAATGAGGGCATCTCTGGCAATAACAACATTTTTTGCCTATTTCTTGAGATGATGGTGAAGCGTTGCCTTCTTACTCCAGGCACATGCACTGGACAGTTAGGTAGGGAACTCCAGAACCTTAATCTGGTGATGGATATTTATTAGCTGTTCTTTCCTTAGATTGCTACCCTGTTACTTCAAAAACAGTTATGAGCAGTACCTAACAAAGTGAAGTTCCTAGATAATTAGTGATCTGTGAAATCCATTGCACAAACATCTAATGATAAAGAGTAATCAATATTTTTGACTCTCAACATATTCCCTGCTATTTTTAGACTGTTTGAGTTTTCCTATGTAATAGTGTGTCTTTTCTGAAAAATGTGGTAAAATTCATGAATTATTGTACTCACACAGAGATTCACACTTCATGATTGCATTTCAGAAATTCTGACACTGAAGTCAACTTGGTTTTCAGACTAGTCAGTCAAATCATATAGAGTATGCTGACTTTACACCTATATTATTGATATGAGATCATACAAAGTTCTGTACCACAGCACTGGAAATCTTAAACGGTTGAATTGTAATGGAATTAGACTCTTGTTTAATGTGTGCTTATAATTCAAAGCATTTCTTGAGATTTGTTTGCTCTTGGTATATTTGGAGAGGTACATATACTGTATAATAGTTTACCTGAACTTTGTAAGATATACTGATTCATTGCTTATTTTGCAAAGTTTCTAAATCACTATGTTCTAAATTATTTAAAAATACTGAAAATGTTTGTTGTTATGTCCCATCATTTAAGACATTTTTTATTACAATCCCTCTTTAGAAGTATGATTTGCCATTTCCTTACCTGAGGCTAACAATGTTCTTGACAAAGGGTATACTTTGATTTTTATTATGAAATCAGCCACGATAAACTGGATGGGTGTGGCCCTGATGACCCTTAATGCTCTCATTAGTGTTTCCTCACTGCAGAAAAGTGTCACATCTTCGTATCATTTCTCTCCAGAGCATTGGGGAAAACATCAGCCACTTGGCATGTGGAGGATCGAGAGTGTGAATCTATATTATGTAATTCCTATAAGTTCTCACAGGTTCTGCTATGTATAGCTTAACAAAACCACTTCATACATATCATTCATCATCTTAATATTGTGACTTATAATTTCTGAAACTCGAAAATTTTGTAAATTATTACCATGTTTATCAGGTTTCTTTGTCTTTTGTGAAAGAGAACCTCATACCTTCTTTCCCACTGTAAGTCCATCAAGAAACAAAACCATTTTTGTAATGTGAAGGAACATACACAGGAAAGCTTATTAATTGAATTTACCTAAATAGTGACCACTCTTAAACAATGTTAGGATTGAAGTAATTTTATGTACTCCAAAATGTATGAGCAGAGCATCAGTACAGTAGGATTGTCTTATGTTAATTAAGTTTCAGGAAAAGCAATAACAAGGGAAATTAGTTCACAATATGGAGATGTTTGGCCAAAGATTACAGGAAAAATAATGAGGAGCTCATGGCGCTGCTATTAGTGCTTTTAAAAAATGTGGATTGCAGCAAAGAAAAGGCATGCGAGTTTCAAATCGTTATGTGTTGTGTGACAATTTCCATCACCCAGCTAAAAGCCTGGCAAGAATGGATATATACCCTTAGCTTCTTTATTGATATTCACTGCCCATAAACTGCTGAATTTGCTTGTATGTGCAAATTAAATTCACTGCAGTCTTTTAAAGCTAATGTCTCTGTCAAACGTGGAAAAGGTATAACACACCAGCAATTTTGAGTCATTGTGGTTCCAATGGGAATAAAGACATGTATATGCTGCTCCATTTAGTTCGCCTTTTGTTTCAAGGCCTTCACCTCCTCTTAGGCTGGCAGTCATACCAATCTGAATTGCATGGAGTTGTTTTAGATGTATTAGACCTGATTCACATTAACACATGCTGCTTCAGAGTCTAGTCAGAGTAATAACGTTTCATCTTTGTTTACCGATTTAGCTTGGAAGGTCACTATTTCAATTAAATGATCCACACCAATTAATATCTATTTTTTAATTTGGAAAATTAGATTGAAAACATAATGAATGTCTGTTAAAAGTATGTTCTTTTGTTGCAGATTGCAGTCAAGAGTACACAGATTCTACAGGGATAGATTTGCATGAATTTCTTATTAATACATTAAAGAATAATCCCAGGTTAGTACTTCCATATTTAAAGGGATAACCTGGTAAACATTTATTTCAATTTTATTTTTAGAGTACTCTGTATACTAATAATTTGCCAATTCAAACTGTGTTATATTTACCAAAATATCTGAGATGCAACAGCAGGTTTAACTAATGCTTGGGTATGTCATGGAACTGGAATAATGGGCTAGACTTTAACCACCCCACCCCCCCAAAAAAAACAGCTGGGTTTGGTTAAAATGTTAAAAATACCCAACCCTAGCAGAAACTGCTCACTGTGGTTTTCAGGAAGATAGTCAATGAAGGGTAAATTGATGTAACTTCACAATTGCAGCTGGTCATGGAGAACATTTTAAGGAGGCTACTTGCTTCCATTTTTACATGAACTCTATTTTCAATCCATGGTCCATGTTACGCAAGCCTCAGGAAATCTGGTAAGAGGAGGTAGAGAAGCCTCAGATCAGTCAGGTAAATGCATCTTACAGCATTGCTTATGGGCCAGGACAAACAGGACGGTTTCCCACAGCCCCACAATCAAACCCTAAAAACATAGCAGCTCGCCTCCGTGATCACCTGTCTGCAATTTTTCTCACTGTAGGAAGTAGGGGCAGATAGTAAGAGAAGCGGTGAGAAGGGAAATAATTCCATGAGTTGACACAAGTGAGATACTCCCGTTTTAGCACATTACTAATTAAGTTTTGGATGAGAATCTGTGGCAACTTCACTTCCATTAACTTTCTTGACCTGCCACAAATTAAGGCTTAAATAATCAATTATTGTCCATGTAAGGACCTCAACCTGCCTTGTCCATTATCAGAGATGGTAAGAACTGCCGATGCTGAAGTCAGGGATAACACAGTGTGGAGCTAAATGAACACAGCAGGCCAGGCAGCATCAGAGGAGCAGGAAAGTTGACATTTCAAGTCGGGACCCTTCTTCCCGAAACTTCAGCTTTCCTGCTCCTCTGATGCTGCCTGACCTGCTGTGTTCCTCCTGTTCCACACTGTGTTGTCCATTATCAATTCCATTATCATCTTTCTGCCCAGCAGGCGAGAAAGGATTTACCGACAGGTTAAGAGTTGGTGGGTGAGGTGCCTCCAATTTCTGTAACCAGAGGCTCAGATCAGGGGCAAGAGGGGCAATCTCTGAAAGTGAACCTATTGCCTTTTCCTCTGACCATCTTGACACTCCTCTCCCTATGACCCCAAGCCTATCACAAGAAGATTAAAAGTGCTTACCTTATTGCTGCTGGAGTAGGTCTGTACCAACAGCCTTTAGGATCCAGAAACTGCCGGTCTATTCTGGAAATCTAAAATGTCAACGCGAAGCCCTCTGATGGGCTGAGAAAAAGGTCTATGCTCTGCCTATTGGTTGATTGCATGTGATTGGCTGTGATGGAGGCATTTCTGATGAAGGGTCTAGGCCCGAAACGTCAGCCTTTTTGCTCCTATGATGCTGCTTGGCCTGCTGTGTTCATCCAGCTCTGCACCTTGTTGTCTCGGATTCTCCAGCATCTGCACTTCCTACTATCTCTCATCAGAAAACACTCTTATTTTCAAAAAGAAATCAAAATGGTTCCTAAAGTGCGTGTTTAGTATTGAAAATATTGAAACAAAATCCTGTGACATCAGTGACTGGGAAAAATTGGATTGATTGTGGGTTTGATGTAACATCTGTTGCACCAAAAATTTAATTCCAGCAAACGAAATTATTGTCAGAATACAAAACGTTGGACACACTTAGCAGGTTCATTAGTGAGCAGAAAACAAATATTAGTGCCCATCTTTTGACAGAGAAGAAGAAGTAAAATATTTAAAGCCGCGTAGACAGCTATAACCCAGGAGAGAAAGAGATAAAAGAATTTTAAGAAAGAAAACTTATATTGGGTGTAGTATTTGCTGACAAATCAATTGAATTGAACAATGTTATCCTTTTGAATGTTCAATTTTCTGTGATATCATTGATTCTGGTGCTGCAAGTTATATAACTTTACATGATTATGACATCAGTGATAACATTTAAATGCCACATGTAAATATACATTTTTATTGGAAGGAAATAACTGCACAATTACAGCAGTTTTCTATTATTCATTTATGGGATGAGGGTGTCGCTGGCCAGGCAGCATTTATTGCCCATCCTTAATTACCCAGAGGGCAGTTAAGAGTCAACCACATTGCTGTGGGTCTGGAGTCACATGTAGGCCAGACCAGGTAATGATGGCAGTTTCCTTCCCTAAAGGACATTAGTGAACCTGGTGGACTTTTCTAACAACCAACAATGGTTTCATGGTTATCATTAGACTCTTAATTCCAGACTTTTTTTCAATTGAATTCAATCTGTCATTGGCAGAATTCGAACCTGAGTTCCCAGAACTTACCTGGGCCTCTGGATTAACAGTCTAGTGCTAATACCACTGGGCCATCACCTTCCCCACTGATTTAAAAGAACTACTGTCATCATCAATGACTAGTTTACCCGACTCTGAAAGCAGCCCAGATAAAACAAGTAAGTTTTCAAATATAGATTCTCAATGGAACTCAAAATAAATTAGATATTATTATTTCAGGCAGCTCCATGCTAAAATTCGCAGGTGTGGTCAATAAGTCGTATTGAACATTTTCTGTATGACTGTCATTCAAACGATGCGCTAGTTTTTGTGCAGTTGTTGCTTAATGTCATGCGTAAGCAAATGATATGCTTGTGGCTTTGGGAAGAGTCCAACAGACACAGACATTAATGTCTATGGTGAACAACTGGCTTCGCCATCATCACCACATTGTACAGAACCACGAAAGCACTGTCAGATTCTGCTGTTCTCCATCACAGACCATCTTTCCTGTCTCTTCCTCTCTTACCTCCAAAAACCATCAGAACAGCCTTCTAGTGCCTCAGCTGCTTCCCTCTCTTAGCACATTGGGCAACATTTCTCCAAAGGTTTCCCCTGCCCTACACCTGTAATCCTCCCTTTTTCTTGTTTGTTTCCTATTTATCATCATGTACTCTTCAAACGCATCTTCTCCATGAGTCTCACTTCTTTCTAGCTTGAACCTAAACAGAAGTTTACTGACAATGCAACTACTCTTCCTGGCTCCCATGTTAACTAACGTTGTTAATGATTCCCTCTCTGCAGGAATACTACCCATGATCCTCTGTTCTTGCAAATTATGGCCCTGTCCTGAACCTCCCATGCCTCTCCAAAGGTTAGAATTTTATAACTTTCTGTGAGATCGTCCCTCATTCTGTGAAACTTCAATCAATATAGCTCTGACAGATCCAATCTCTCTTTATACATCAGTCCTGCCATCCCAGGAATCAGCCTGGTAAACCTTTGTTGCATTCTCTCCATAGCTAGAACAAGCTGCACACATTACCCCAGGACTGGTCTCACCAAGGTCCTGTACAATTGCAACAAGACATTCCTGCTCCTGTACTTGAAATCTCTCACTATAAAAGCCAACATGCCTTCTTCACCACTTGTGGCACTGCATACTTACTTTCAGCGAATGCCGTACAAGGACACCCTGGTTTCACTGCACCTCCTGCTTTCCCAAACTATTACTATTCAGGTAATAATCCACCTTCCTGTTTTTGCTAACCTTACATTTATCCCCATTATATTTCATCCATCGTGCATTTGCCCACTCACTGAACTTGTCCAAATTACACTGAAGCATCTCTGCATCCTCATTACAGCTTACCCTTCCACACAGCTTTGTGTCATCAGCAAACTTGGAGACATTACATTTAGTTCTCTCATCTGAATCTTTAATATATGTTGTGAATAGCCGAGGCCCGAGCACTGAATGCTGCAGTATCCCACTAGTCACTACCTGCCATTTGGAAAAAGACGCTTATTCCTACTCTTCATTTCTGGATTACCAATCATTTCTCTTTCATGTCGGTACACTGCCTCCAATCCAATGTGCTTTAATTTTACATGCTGTGAGTCTTTATTAATAGCTTTCTAAAAATTCAAGTAAACCATATCCAGTGGCTCCCCTGATCAACTCTACTAGTTCCACCCTTGAAAAATTCTACTACATTTGATGTGTTTGATTTTCCTTTTGTAAATCCATGCTGACCCTGTCTAATCCTGTTTTCCAAGCGGTCTGCTGTTAAATCTTTCATTACGGAGTCTGGAATATTCCCCGTGACCGATTTTAGGCTAGTCAGCCTATTGTTCCCTGTTTTCTCTCCACCTCTTACCTGGCCTGGCCCACATGCGACTTCAGACCCACAGCAATGTGATTGACTCGTAATTACCCTCTGGCCAATTAGGGATGGGCAATAAATGCTGCCTGGCCAGTGTCGCCCTCATCCCATGAATAAATAAAATCTCCTTTTTTATTGGCGTTGCATTAGCTACCCTCCAATCCATTATAGGAGCTGTTCCAGAGTCTATAGAATCTTGAAACATGACGACCAATGCATTCATTTTTTGTAGGATCATTTCCTTATGTATTCTGTTAAGTAGATTATTGAACCCTAGGGATGACTTGACCTTTAATAATTTCATCAACATCATTTCCCTATTAATATTGCATTTCTTCAGTTCTTCCTTCTGACTCAATCCTGTGCTCCCTAGCATTTTTAGGATGTTATTTGTCTTCCTTTCTGAAGACAGAGCCAAAGTTTATGTTTCATTGGTCCCTTTGTTCCCAATGATAACTTTCCCTGTTTCTGACTGCATATGTTGAGCTGCCTTCTTGAATGGCTGCAGACCATTTGGTGTAGGTAGACCCACAGTGCTATTAAGGAGGGAGTTCCTGGTTTATGACCCAGTGACGCTGAATGAACAGTAATATATTTCAAGTCTGGATGGTGAGTTGCAGATGGTACTGTTTCTTCTGCCCTTGTCCTTCTAGATGGTAGTGGTCATGGGTTTGGGAGATGCTGTCTAAGGATCCTCAGTGAATTTCTTCACTAATCTTTTTCTCTTCACATACCTATAGATTTCTCTTCACATGCCTGTAGATGTTTATGATTATATCCCAAATGATAGTGACCATGGTGAGCTAATTTTTTACTTACTTCTCAGTCTGTCATCGGCCCTCAAACAGATGACTATACTATCCTTTCTTCAATGCCTTTCTCTGTTTCTAACTGGTTGTCGGACATTTTCCTGGTTCCATTCTTATCTACCTGGCAGTAACTTGCTTGCCACCTGCAATGACTTGCTCCTCGTCACCAGCACTTCTGGACCTCTCAAGGATATAGTTCTGAGCTATTTCTTGGCACCTTCATTCAAAACCTCTTCGGGTTCTATGAATATGCTGACAGTGTTCAGATTTACTTCATCACTACCTTTTCCAAATCCACTGTCTTTGATTTGTCACAATACTTAATCGACAAAAAACACCAGAGGAACAGAAATCTCCTCTGACTGCATATTGAGAAGATTGAAGCCATTCTCTGTAGTCACTATTTTTTCACTAAATATTAATTCTGTCTCTCTGCTCAGCTGTAGTCTGAGCTGATCCAGATGGCATTTAACCTTGGTGTCATATTTGAAAATTTAATGTAAGTTAAAACCATCTTATCTACTTCATCTTCAAAACTTCTTAATTTCATCTTTGTAGCACTGCCTGCCTCCACTCTGCCTCAGTTCATTAGCTGCTGAAATTCTGTCTATTCCTTTGTTAAGATCTTGTCATTTCAATGGTCTCCTGGTCAGCCTATCATTGTCCACCCTACAGAAGTGATGGTTCATTCCAGCGATCTACTTAGATCTTAACTTGCACTATTGCCTTTGTACCCAAACCCCAATGCTCAATGACTTATGTTGGCTGCTGATCCAGCAGAGCTTCTATATAAAATTCTTAACCTTGTTTTCCAACTTTCCCATGTCTGAGTAACTTCTATCTCTGTAATGTTTATGAGCCTGATCAGCCTTTAAAAACTGTATGTTCCTCAATTTTTTTTGTCCCCTATCCAAACATGATTTTAATCACTTTGCATCAGTTTTCATGCTTTCAGCTCTCTAGATCTAGATATCCATAATTCCTAAATTTGTGGAGGTCTGTCTCACCCTTAAGCTCTCCTTAAAAGTTGCTACTTTTATACAGGTTTGGTCATGTGACCACAAGTCTTCCAGTTGCTTTGTGTCAGTTTTGTTTAATTAAACTCTTGTGAAGCCCTTTGGGACATTTTGCCATGTCCAAGGTTTCAAATCAATGAAATCGGAAGAATTTACAAGACTAATGTGACCCTACAATGTAAGTTCAGAATATTGAAAATGACCCTGGGTAGACCCTTGTTGCACAGCTGATGGGTAATTCCATGTGTGTGGTGGAAAATGAGAAGAGAATTGGTTCAAAAAGTGAATTTAAGAAGTAATTTTACAAAAGCTCATACCTAAATATAATTATGATGAAAAGTATTAGTTTCATCTTCAGTTTTTTATAATTCATTCATTGGACATGGGTGTCATTGGCTGGGCCAGTACTTATTGTCCATTCCTTTTTGCTCTTGGTCAGGTGACATTGAGCTGCCTTCTTGAACGGCTACAGATCATTTGTGTAGGTAGGCACACAATGCTGTTAAAGAGGGAATCCTTAAATTTTTGAAAACTCTGAGTCTAGAAAGGTGCCGCTGAAATGCCTTTACTTAAAAGGAGAGAGAAAACAAAAAGGTAACAATAGGCCAGTTAGCTTCACATCTGTTGTTGAGAAAATGTTAGAATCTACAATAAAGGATGTAATAGCAGAGCATTTGGAAACGCATAATATGATCAAACAGAGTCAGGATGGTTTCACTAAGGAGAAATTATGCCTGACAAATTTAGTAGAGTTCTTTGAGGAGGTAGCAAGTAGGATAGATGAAGGAGAATCAGTAGATGTGATATATTGGATTCCAAACGGTGTTCAATAAGGTACCACACATAAAACTATGTAATAAGTGCCTACATCATTGGGAGTAATATATTTGCATGAATAGAGTATTAGCAAACTATGATGGGAGTGAAGGTACTATCACCAAGTTTGCAGATGGCCCAAAAATAAAATTAGACAAGTATTGAAGATGTTATAAAGAAGCTACAGAGGGATATATACAGGTAAGTGAATTGGTAAGGTAACTCCTCAGATGGGATATAATCTGGGAAAATGTGAGGTTATGTGCTTTGGCAGGAAGCAAAGAAGAGCTGAATATTATTTAAATGGAGAAAGACAACTGAAAGTTGCAACACAGAAGGATTTTGATTCATACAGTGGACAATAGGGAAAGCAAAGGAATTGTTGTCTTTTTTTTCCCAAAAGGAATGGAATATAAAAGTTGGGGGGGAGGGAAGGTTGCTAAAACTGTACAAGGCACTAATTAGTTCACAGCTGGAATACTGTGAACAGTTTTGGTCCCCTCATCTAGGCAAAGGTATGCTGGGGCATTGGAGGCGGGTCCAGTCAAGGATCACCAGTTTGATCCTGGGTATGGTGGGATTTTTCTCTGGGGAGAGTTTGAGTAAATTGGGTCAGTACTCATTAGAGTTTAGTAGAATGAAAAATGAGCTTATTAAAATATATAAAATTCTTAAGGGATTTGACAGGGTAGATGAGGGAGTTTGTTTTGCTTTAACAGAGAGACTAGGCATAATCTCAGAGTAAGGGGTTACCCATTTAAGACAGAGATGAGGGTTCTGTTCCTCTCAGAAACTAGTGAATCTGTGGAATTCCTTACAACAGAGGCTGAGCCATTAAGTATATTAATTGCCGAAATGGATAGACTATAAATCAGTAAGAGAACTGAGGGTTATATGGATAAAGCAAGAAAACTGAGTTGAAGATTCTGTGATCAGCCATGATCTCATTGAATGTTGGAGCAGACTCGATTGGCCAAATGGCTGACTTTAGCTACTCGTATGGCCTTAATACTGTCTCTTATTGGCACTAGATTTGTTGAGCAAAATGGAGACAGTTTCAAGAACCTACAAATCAGGTATGAAAAATTCACGTTAAAATGCATACAATGACAGTAGCCTGAGGTGGTGAAGCTGATCGTTCTGTTAGGAGATAAGCACTCACTCTAAATCTTTTGATTTTTTTTCCATGCGTTAGTTCTGTATTAACTGTGAAAGGTGGCAACAATCTGAGGAAAAGTTACACTTGCAGCAGTTAATTTAAGAATGTTATTGACAAAGTGCTGAAAGTAAATGATTTTCTTATTTTCTTGGTTGGGAAAAGATGTGATAGACCATACAGAATAAGTGAGATCGAAGTAGAAGAATTGATTTATTTGATGTTTGCCTTAATCTTAATATTCATGATGACTTAATGGTTATCATTTTACAGGGACAGAATGATGCTTTTAAAAATGGAACAGGAACTAATAGATTTTATCAATGATAACAAGTAAGTGGTTATATTGGTATTTGTTACTTTAAAGAGAAGCATTTTAAATTAGGTTTATTTTAATTTAGATGTTATTTTTACTCACTAGTGATACAAAATCAGGCAATTTACTTCTTTTTTTCAGATAATGCTTAAATGCTTGAAGTTTTTAAGTGAATTTTGTACTTGAAATCATCAATTTCAGGCACTTATAGATATCAGATTTCAGTAACAATGAGTATTAGAGGAGACAGGTGGAAGAGGGAAAAACAAAATACCATGGTTTTATTCTGATAGAACACATGTTATCCAAAATGAAATTCCTTATTATGCTGAAGTCATTTACACTCCTGCTCAATTGTTCACTTTGTGTTTTGTATTATCTGTAACTTTGAAATTACGCTCTAAATATCCAAGTGTAGTTTAAAAGAATACCAAAACCTAGGGGACTCTACAAATATAATGCCATCCACTCTAAAGAACAAGTGTTTAGACTACTTTCTGCTTTCTGACCTTTAGCCATTCACACTGTCAATGTCCATTCAAGCCCACAGACGTCACGTTTGCAAACAAGTTTGCTATTAGCACTTTATGAAATGCCTTTCAAAGTCCATATACACATTACTTACAGTGAATTCACCAAAACTCTCCATTACTTTATCAACAATAGTCACATGCAAACTGCTGTGAATAAATCCATGCTGACCTGTCATTGATTAATCTATATTTTCCAAATAACAATTAACTTGGTCTTGGATAATTGTACCAAACTTCTCTTCTACCATTTTCATACGGTTGTCTGGTTTGTATTTGCCAGATTCACTGCACACATGCATGCACACAGAGACCCACGTATACACAGATATATACACACACATGTACACGAGCATTCATGTACAGGCACACAGAAACACACATAAACATATAGTAAATGCATTCAACATATTTAGTTTTTAGTCTTTTTCACACAGGACTGGGGCTTCAATGGCGATTAACCTCCCACTGCCAGCTAGGAAATCCAACAGAACAAATGTGGCATGGTGGCTCAGTGGTTAGCATTGCTGCCTCACAGCACCAGGGACCCGGGTTCGATTCCACCCTCGGGCAACAGTGTGCATAGAATTTGCACGTTCTCCCTGTGTCTGGGTGGGTTTCCTCTGGGTGCTCCAGTTTCTTCCCATAGTCCAAAGATGTGCAGATTAGGTGGATTGGCCATGTTAAATTGCCCATAGTGTGCAGGGATGTGTAGATTAGGTGGGTTATAGAGGGATGCTAATGGGTGGGATGCTTTGAGGGTCAATGTGAACTTGTTGGGCTGAAGGGTCTGATTCAATGAAATGCTCTTGGTTGCTGTCGGGTATATTTCTCTGCCTGTACAGTGTCTCATTACTGAAGGTGCAGTCTGCCTATAGCTGTTGGCCAATCACAGAGTGTGTGTTGTGGGGAGAGAACGGTCAGAGGTGAGAGACAAGAGGACTGATCGAGGGTCCTGTCCCTGATCCATGCACCCGGTTTCCCCAGATAAGGAAAAAATGGATGCCCTCCATTCCCTTAACCTGCTGATCAGATCATCTTGGCTTCCCTGTGGGGAAAGCAGCTCTGTTTCCTGCTGCTGTGAAGGTAGATGGGTTCAGGCCCTTAACTGATTGTTCATTAACCACCCAAAACCTGATTGCTGGTATGACAGGAAATACAATGGCAACTCCAGTGTCAAAATGCCCCATTATTTGCCAGTCTCAACACTGAATAAAGTTACAGAGAAGATAGTAAGATTATTAATCAGCGATGGGATAAATGGTTATGGGGAGCAGGCAGGAAAGTGGTTTTGAGCTGAGATGAGATCAGCTACGATCATTTAAATGGCTTAGCAGGTTCGAGAGACTGAATTGCTTACTCCTGCTTCTAGTTTCTCTGTTCTTGACTTATTGTGGCAGAAACCATGGAAAAGTGGCACATGGAAGCTAGTTATCACATTTCTTTCGAGGCCTTCAGAACCACTTCAGAGGTTCCACAGATGGGCCGAAACTAGGTAGGAGGGGCGTGACCAGGGGCAGAAATCAGAAAGGTATATTAGTTGGCCATTCCATTGGGCACCATCCCTATTAAAAAGGGCAGCTGGCATCCAAGGGGTCTATCCAACCAACCAAAGGGCTGGCAGTCTCAATAGCACCTCTGCCAGCAGAGGCCATTTTGTGAGCTTGCATCTACTTGGTGAGGGCCATGTGAAAGGCCATGAGCCCATGAAGACTAGTAAGCAATGTCTGGGGAAGCCAGGGTCAGACAGGCAGACCATAGTGAATACACATGGCATGAGGTGGTCACTAAAGGCAGAGGGTGGAGGTCCCGTCTGTAGGCCACAGAATGCCCTAATAGGAGCCACCCCAGAGTGTGCTGGAAGGCCTTTGAATTTCACTGGGTGGTCTCTATAGGTAATGGCTGGTTCCCCCAATCGGACAAATGCTAGAAGAGGCCCTTTGATTGACTCAATTGGATTCTTGATGGCTAGCACAGCTACTACTTTCCCCATCATTGGGTAAATGACATAGAGCAGCAGAAAGATGTCAGAAACCCCCTCTGATATATTACTGTGCCATTCTGTTAGCCTTCTCGCCTGGCAAAGTAAAATTCTGATCTGGGCTGGGACACCAAACTTATTTCTCTGCCTTCAAAGGCGAATCCTGCTAACTGTGAGGGGGGTGGGGATGCACGCTGCAGCAGAGAGATTGTTAATCTTCTCCTTTGATTATCTGGCTCTTCCCTATGTCCCCGAGTGAATCCCTTTCAAGACACATTTCCATATTCCTGTCCTCTCACTTCTCATGGGACAGAATCTGCCCATGGATGGTAATAAACAACTTCAGAATATTGGCTGATGATTATGCTACGGTGAAGATGATTGTCACTTTAGAACCTCACAGATCTGTTGGACTTCCTTTCATTTCAGTGTTGGACCCCACATATTAAAAATCTTTGCTGTGTTAATGTGATTGTGATTCCAAGTCTTATTCTGCTATAGCACCTGGAGCTTTGGTCATAGGTCCACCAATACTTTGTTTGATAGCAATTTATTTACAGCAGATTGGACGTTATGTAGTTATTAAGTGTAAACAGCAAAGTGTGAGTTGAAGTCCAGGTCAAATCAAATGGTGATAGCAGATCGCTGTCACTCAAGGCCATTATTCAACATGTACGGATTTACAATGATCCAGTTGCTTCACAATTTCTTCTGGAATTCTAGTTGACAGGTGCATTATTGAATTTCCTTACATAGTTTGTGCTGTGTGCCTGAGCTCTCAGATTCTGGGTTCCAATGGCATAACCACATAGTGCGATTAATGCTTCCTGCCAGAGGTCGAATTCTCTTTCAGATGCCTGGGATTGGAGCTCATGGGCTTTCCCAGAGTATATGTTATTCAACCTATCCTGAAGCAAGACGCTTAATGAATTGGCTGGCTCAAATCTGTCAAATCTACCAGTATCATTCTGCACAGGAACTCCATCTGAGTTCACTGAATATCACCATACTTATTATCCAGAATGTATGCATACGATGGCTTTTTTTTTAAACCTTTAACAGAGAGTTCATAGAAGCTGCAAGGTTTTACTGATAAATCTCATTCTTATGTTAATTCTCATTCCCCTCCTAGTCATAAGAGTCTAACCCTATTAAACCACACAGACTCATTGTCTAGAGACCTGCAAATATTTTTATGAAGCAAATTATGAATATTTGTGCTACATCTAAAATGCCTATTACAGTAAAAAATAGCAGGAGTGAATTTCTGCTGAGCTTTTCCTGCTTGTCCTCAATTACGTTGTTGAGGGAGTTGTTTTACAAAGGCTGGTGCAGCCCCTGAGCAGGAGGTTGAAGGTTGTGTGAAGAATGTCACCTTCTGTTTTGGTCCAATGGATCTAGTCAATATTACACTGTTCACCCAGCTGCTTTGCTTCTTCACGTATGACCTATAAGACTATATGACACAGGAGCAGAATTAGACCATTTGGCCCACTGTGTCTGCTCCGCCATTTTATCATGACTGATATGTTTCTCAGTGTAATGAAAAACTAATGTGTTTCTGTCTTAAATGCACTCAATGACTTGGCCTCCAGAGCCTTCTGTGCAACAAGTTTACAGAATCACTGCTCTGTGGCTGAAGAAATTCCTCGTCTCATTTCTAAAGGGCATGCCTCACTCTGAGGCTGTGCCCTCAGGTATTAGTCTCTCTTTCCAATGGACACATCTTCTCCACATCCACTGTATCCAGGCTTCTCAGTATTCTGTAAGCTTCACAGAGATCCCCCTCATCCTTCTAAACTCCATCATGTACAGACCCAGCATCCTCAACTGCTCCTCATGTGACAAGCCCTTCATCCCAGGGATCATTCTTGTAAACCTGCTCTGGACCCCCTCCAAGGCCGGCACGTCCTTCCGTAGATATGGGACCCAAAACTACATCCATTTTCCAATCTGAAAGAATTGTCTCAACCTAGCCTTTGCATTTATTATTATTATTATTTTCATTTATTATTTTCAAGTAAGTTTATGTGTAGTAGGATTACCTTCATGGGGAATGTATTGACTTTATTTGGTTTCCAACTTCTAGCAACCACTATAAGAAATTCCCTCCAATGTCATCATATCATCGGATGTTGGTGCACAGAGTAGCAGCTTACTTTGGAATGGATCACAATGTAGATCAAACTGGAAAGTCTGTTATAATCAACAAAACTAGCAATACTAGAATGTAAGTATTGCCTGTCCTTAATGTTGATTGTCTTTCAGAAATGATTTTCTGCAATGAGTAAAACACTTTCATTGTTTATTTGTATATGTAAATGTACCACATCTAGTCCAGCACAATAGTCTATGTAAAGCTTACAGTTTGTCCCTTCCTGCTGCAGGCTGTGCACTAGAGTCACAGGCTCAATGCCCATTACAGCTATGTGAGTCCCAGTACAGATCAGTGATTGTGGACAGTAAAATGACTTGAATCACATTTTCAGAAAACTGGTTTGATTGTATTTCTTTGTGTTTATATATGTCAACAGACCAGAGCAAAGGTTCTGCGAACACATAAAAGATGAGAAAAATGATGAGTCCCAGAAAAGATTTATTTTAAAAAGAGATAATTCTAGTATGGATAAAGACGACAATCAGGTACGTAGCACTGTGTGAAGCTTGACAATAAAACTTTTCCTGATAATATGCAGCAGCAAAAGCTGTTCAATTTTTAATCCACTCAGCCAGTTAACCTACTATACATACATATGACAGCAGTAATGTGTATACTTTAACTAATCTACTCAAACCTCAATTCAGTTGGATGGGATTTTAAATAGGTTTATGTGTAAACGAACAGTATTTCATATCCTTTCAGGAAATGTTTATCTTGCAGCAAAATAGGATTCATCCATTTAGAGATGATAGAAGAAGTAAATCAATTGAGGAGAGAGAAGAAGAATATCAACGAGTAAGAGAGAGAATTTTTGCACAAGATGTAAGTAATTTCTCTGCTAGCCTCGTACCCCATTTACACGGGGATATCAAATTGAGTTCGGATGCATTTATCTGAACTGAATTTGGCCTCCCTAGCACTTGCACCAACGTCTACCCTGAACCAATACATGTGTCTGAACAGGATTAAACTAAATTACCTGTCTGAGGGATGTGCTGTTAATTGGGCAGAACAAAACTTCAGCAGAGATTTGAATCAGACTGTTCATACCAGACTTATTCAGATCCTCTGCTTGTGGATGAATTTAAACCAGTGTTGGAGGGTGAGAGATTTCATATCAGGGTAGATAAATCAGTGTAATTCAATTGTCGAGCCAAAACAGCTGTAAATTCAAAATGATTTCACATTTACGGCTGTAGTGTAAACGGGGCTGTAGAATGGCTAAAGTCATAATTAGGTAACATAGTTAAGGTCAATATCCTAAATAAATAGCTCATAAATACATTCTGTTTTATGAAATGTCATGTTTCTGTGTTATAAAATTCAAAATTCTTAACACATTATAAAAAGAGTATATACTAAGTAGTTGGGATTAGAAGCTATATTGTTGTATTCAACTTTAACTAAGTTTTAAATTAGTGCTATTCTAATGTGGAGAACAGAAATAAATTGCACTGCACTGTCACAATTAAAAAAAACACCTACAATGTAAAAATGTTTTTAACCACATGTAAACACCATGCATCTTTATCAGCTAATATGTTTTAACATATGGAACAATTAACAAACATTAAATCGATGGAAAATAAGTCAACACAGAAAATTTATTTAACCGTAAATCGGTGCAGCACTTTGAATGGGGACATTAGCCAAAGAGCTACTATTAAAAAAAATCACTCTTATCAGAAAAATGGAGCTTATTTGAATAGTATATTCCCTACCTTTCTGTCTCATACTGTGTGTCTTAACATTCTGTTGCAAAAGTAGCAAGAATACTCACTTAAGTTGGTCATAAAATTGAGGAGTAAAGAATGTAGATTTAAATTGAAGATGGAAGATTTGCTCATATGCAGCAGATCTGTCAATATGTAAAGATAAAGGAAAGATAAATATCTTAAGCTCGAACCATTCAATATTGCAAAGAATCTCAATCTTAAACCAGTCGCCAGCCTTTCCCATTTTCAGATGCTCATAATCTTGCAATGATTTCTGGAATTTTTCAGACTAATTAAGTTTTTCCTTTCTTATCCCTATTGGTTACTTGGCAACCAAAATGGGCGGTTCAGTATTTTGGAGATTAAAGATAACCGATCTATTTATTAAAGTGATTTTTGCGTCAGCCTCTTCTCATTGTACTGGTTTCTCCTGGGGTAAGATTGCAGAGTACCTTACTCAAGTAGTAGTTCATCATGTGAGATTGATAGGAAGTGTTAGCAGGACACTGGACCATGAGGAACATCATCATATCCAAATAAAAGTACTGTAGTTGCTAGAGATTTGAAATAAAAACGTAATGTTCTGGAGAATCTCAGCAGCTCTAGCAGCATTTCTAGAAAGGCAAAGAGAAGTAATGTTTCGAGTCCTATATGACTTTTCTTCGAAAGACAGATGCATATCGGACTTGAAACACTACCTCTGTTTCTCTCTCCACGGATGCTGCCAGACCTGTTGAGTTTCTCTAGCACTTTCTGTTTTTATCATCATGTCCGAGTTTGATTCTGCCCTCCATGCAGGTGTCTTATAGCAAGGGTCTAGCCAGGAGTAGGAATTCTGGCTGATTTCCTCCCCCTTAATCAAGGCTACTGAGACTAATGATAGTACCTTTTCTGTCATTACTGAATGATGGCTGACTGAACACAGATCAGAAATCAAACCAGAACTTCTGGTCTATACGATTTAGTCATTCAGTACCTTTATTGATTCAGTATTGGACACATTTGACCATGTACCTTGAACATTAACAATTATGCCTATAACCCCAAGAACTAAACTGTGTTGTACTAATAATATGTAGAAATAGTGCATTGCAGTTAAAATTCAATAACTATATAGCTAGGTAAATAACGTTTATGATGTGAATCTTAATTTCTTTATTTCAATTAGATTGCTGCATTATTTTGGTTTATATTGTTGCAGAGATTAGCTTAAAGATGTTCCCACTGCATTTGTTCTTCTTCCTCCCTTTACTCCTATTACTCTTGCTTTATCATGGTTGTAATCTGTTGTCACTAGATGCAGAAAAGCTTTTCTGCAGTGTATCTCTGGATTGCCTATATGATTTATGCAAGTTGTAGACATCACCATGTGTAGCCAGACATCTGTTTGTTCCTGTTTAAGGATGGCACCATGAACTTATTGAAGAAGTGTAGTTAAATTGAAGTATATTTTGGTCTGCCTTATGAACTCCTTTGGCATGGCTTTTATGTTGTAACAGTAAATTTTGCCTGGCAAGTCTCCCAATAGAGAGGTGTGATGCAGAGATGAATGTATTCTTCACTGTTTTTCTCGGCATTCATTTTATTGACTGAGAAATTGGGAGCACAAGCTATCAGGCATATTGACTACCGATCCTAATTCTCCCATCTTCACTCCCATTGAGTGAGGTACTATGTCAGGAGTACAGCCTTGCAAAATTTACCTTTCTGAATCAGCATAACATTTCATTTTATTGAAAGCAAAATAGTGCAGGATCTGAAAATCTGAAATAGCAGGAGAAAATGTTGGATTATCAATAGCTCAAGTAACATCGCTGGAGAGAAAGAGTTAATGTTTCAGATCAATAGCCTTGAGCATCATTAACTCCGTTTCTCTCTCCACAAACGCTGCTTAAAATTAGCAGAAGTTTCCAACAATTTCTCTTTTTATTTTAGCCTTTATTTAATTCAGCAGTTTGTATTGTTGCAATATTTATGACTTAATTGTTACCATTGCCACTTTTTTCAAAATTTATGATTGTCAAAATCCCTATGATCAACTGATTTCAACATATTTTTGTTTAAAATGAGAGGTGATGAAATTATGATGAATAGTCATTGTGAAGAGATTTTGAACTCAGCTATATGGGTTTAAATAAATCTTGATAAATGTCATCATTACACTGGGTGCTTTGCAGTCAACTATGTATGCCTATTACGCATCATGACCTCAAAAGCCAGCTTTTTACTGCAGCCATGTGCATTATCTGATTAAATAAAATAGTTCAGATAACAAGGAAAAAAAGGCTTTTCTTTTCCTCTAAGGTTTGTTTAGAAAGGTCTTTGTAGTAAATCTTTCCTTTTCCAATGACCACTGTTGTGTTCTTCCTTATATGAAAAGGCAAGTTGTTCTGGACTAGATAACTCACAAATACCTACTATCTATCACACTGGTACGATTCAATAGTCCAGTCCATTTGTCCAGTCTGTTGATGAGATAAGGTGTGATTTACCATAAAATAATACAAACAACTTAATAGTTACTGCGGTTAAGAATTCGAATCCATGTGGTTTATAAATTTGAATTCTGCGAACGGTTCGCTCAGTGTGCTGAACGGTAGGAGTGTGGTACAGCATACCTCCAACTGCAGGGGTCAACCCCCATGCTGGCTGAGGTAGTTCACAAAGGCCTGCCTCGTTAGCTTGTTATTGATGTGCAGTGATGGCCCTCAGGTTATATAGCTAATTGTCTCTCTTTAGCAGAGAGAGGTAACCTATGGTCTTTTGTGCACTGCAGTTAATTACCATACTTAGATCACTAAAGCTACCAGATTGCAAGGACTACAAAATGCAACTGAGCTACTTTCTGGAATGCAAGAATATACAGCAATATGTTGAAATGTCCCATTTTTCTTTATAGTCCACATGCTCCCAGGACAGCCTATATGTGGAAAACAGGTAAGCAATGATTTGAATATGTTTGAATAGTGAACATTAAGGCATAGGTTGGTTATTAAAGACTTGGTGGAATTCTACCCTCTTTGATGTGGCACGGACAATGGTGAGAAAGTTGGGAAAGTACAAAGAGAATGGAAAAAAATCAGAATGTCAACATTGACAGAAACTTTTTTCTGATTTTCCCCAAAGCTTTCAATGGCAACTTGATAGTCAGCAGATTTCCTAACTCAACCAACCTGCATTGGTAGCAAAAATCATTGGACTCCAAGACTTTCAAATAGATTGAAACGTACTACAATACTAATGCTGTTCCCCTGCTCTCTTAGTTTCCCTTTTATTCTTCTTGTCCATCTATCCACAATCATTCACACTTTGCTTTTGAAGAATGCCTTAAACATATAGAACAGGATGCTGAGTACATGCAACACTTGAAATCCACTGCCAATACTGAAGTGTGAAAATATGTTTTTTTAAAGTTAATTTGATTCAATCAGTTGCAAAGTTTACGAAGACAAAAACAATGTTTTCATTGGTTTGCATCTTTTATTCTTTTGCTCGCACTACATGCCATTATATAAAAGGAGTCTCCGCATTCTTTCCTTTTCAATTTAAATTGTAAATTTAATATGCCCAGTCCTTGTCAGTATGTTACTCTATTCAACAAATGTTGTAATTAATAAGTCGATTCCCAATCCTGCTCGGTCGGCACTCCTCTGCCTTGGAATGGAGTAGTGACACAATAATCCACTGTACGAGGTTAGGATTGAGTTCAGACTGCAAGGGGAAGACATATTCTTATTTGTACTGCCTCCTTAAATGTATTTCTTGTCATTCCATATTTCCCAGTCAATTGCACAGCAGTTATCATTCTGTTTTGGATAACTTTATGTTAATAGTACCCAAATTCTTCACCTATGTATAAAGTGTCACATGAGAACAATCTGGATTGATTTACACACTGATACCTATTGGGGAAAATCTCTGATGTTTCTTGTCCTGCTATGGCCAAGTGTCACGTTCTACAAATGCCATGGCTACACATGGAAACTTGCTTTGTGGGTTGTTTAATGACACCTTGAAAGATGTATATTGTGCTTGATTAAGAATTTTTTTTAATGTTTTGTTTTCCCAGCTACATTCTAGAGGATATCAGTACTTTCAATGACACACAGAAGAAGAGGCAGCTATTTAGGTTTGTTATGATGCAAATAAAGATGAGATTTCAACCAATTCAGCAGCAAGACTGGTGACAATGGTGCCTTTTGTCTTTTTTTTGTTTTAGGAGTAATAGAGACGGAACAGGAAAGACATCAAGTAGTCGGCAGAGCAGTACAGAGTTGGATGTGAAGTGGACAGACCAGCGACCGTGGAGCAGCACTGATTCAGACAGCTCAAATCGAAACTTGAAACCCCCTGTGACGAAGACAGCAAGTTTTGGTGGCTTCACTGTATTAACACGTGGCGACAGTACAAACAGTAACAGGAGCACAGGCAAACTCTCTAAAACAGGTAGCTGGTACTCGATAGGTTTTGTAGCGGAGTCTTGCTTCATTGCATTTCATGACAGCAATTGAGAAATAACCATCGCAGCCTAACATAGCTAATTCAATGCTTCGGCAGTAATAATGTTGTGGTGGCATTATAGCTTTTGTCTGTCAGTGGTAATGCTGCTGACATTTTAACGAAGCATCATCAAAGAAAAAAAAAGCAAAAAAAAATGTAGATATGGAAATCTGAAATAAACATTGAAAATACTGGAAAAACTCAACAATTGTTCTGAAGAGTCAGAACAGACTCGAAATCTTAACTCTGTTTCTGACGCCACAGATGCTGCAAAACCTGCTGAGTTTCTCCAGCATTTATTGTGTTTGTATCTTCAGAACAGATCTTGATAAAAGTGAGGGATACCATTTTATATCTCCCTGTTGTAATTTTAGATTCAATTCTCCCCACTCTGCATTTCCTGGTTGCTGGAGCATATAAGCATGATTTTGGGGCAGTTCTACCTGGTGCCTGATGTAGGATTGGCACAACAGTGTATGCATGAATTGTGTATTCTTCCAATTTTTTTCTCTCTCCCTATCTTCGCAGTTTTGCAAAGGCTTGGTTGATACCAACCTGGACTGGCCCCATTTCATCCAAAATTGCGAGCCACTTAAGTTCTTGTTATGCTTTTGTTTTAATTTGTTACTCTGGAAGTTTCTAGACTGGATGGCGTATATCATCTGGTTATCAACTCTTCCAATCTCAAACTTCAATTAAGTCAATAAGGAAATATGTTCATTGTATCTCTTGTTAAAATAGTAAATAAGTTTCACACTTACAGTACTTGTGTTTCTTGAACAACTGGTGTGTTTTTCAACAGAGGTACCAAATAGAATTGTTGTACAAGGCTTGTAACAAATGTAACAGTGAATGGTTCATATCATCCAATGACTCTTGCTGCAATTGGAGATCAATGCTGTAATATTGTTCACTATTTTAAAACTGTTAAGATGTCTTTGCTGTCTATTAAACAATACAGAACATACAGCAAAGTCATCTAAATGACAGTATTGACAGAATATGTTTGTATTTCTAAGAGGCGAAATTCTTTGTGCCTTCTCCCAATCCGCAAAACTTGGATGGAGACCCTAAATGAACGAATAAGCAATGTTTCCACGACTGCGTCCTAAGTGGAGCAGAAATCCCAGAAAGGAAGGAAGTGAAATTGTGCTTTAAGCACTGCAGTTAAAGGGAAAACTGAAAAAAAATTGAAGCAGTTATTATCTGGAAAGAGAATATTGAGAAAATGAATAAAATATGAGTGGAAGATTAGGTTATGGTATGTGGTTCAAATAAGTGTGTAAATGTATGGGGAATAATGAGATAGGTGCAGATTGAAACTTATCTTAGCATGACACAATTGTCATCACTGACACAGAGCTGGAGGGTGGTCAGGAGCCACATGTACTAGGTTATAAAGTGTACAAATAAAAGAGGGAAATCAAAGCAGATAGATATTATTTTAGTGCTTCATGATACATAAAAGACAATTTGAGTGCATATAATGAGGTATGCAGGCAATTGCAACTTTATGGTTAGATATAAGAAATAGAAAAGAAGACTACAATGGGAGGAACATATAAGTATCCAGGTAGCAGCTCAGAAGTGGTAGGTTTTATAAATGCTGATATAGATAAGCGTGGAGTAAAGACACATGAGGTTAATGGGAGGATTTAACTTTCATAAGGAGTCAAACACAAATTTTAACCTATTTTACAAAAGTAGAGAATTTCTTGAGTACGTTAAAATAGTTTTTTTTTCCCTAACAATATATATTACCTCACAGTTATCTATGTTAATTTTCATTATTTCAGTTATTTCCCCATTTTGCAAGTTTATTAACGTCTTGGAATTTTGTGGCACTATAAAAACTACAAAAAACATCTATTATGATCATGATGAGCGCCACAAATTCCAAGACGTTAATAAACTTGCAAAATGGGGAAATAACTGAAATAAATAAAAACCTAACGTGGATAAATGCGAAGTAGCACATATTGTTAATTAAAATAGGAAGATCACTTAATATTTCAACGATTTGGAAATCTAGGGCAAGCAGAGGAGCAAAGGGATCGCCAAGTATAAATACTGCAAATGCTAAAAACTGCCCAGGTTAGCAAGCCCACAAAACAAAAACAAACCAAACAGTGAGTTTTAATTTTAAAGGGATAGGATTGAAAGTAAGTTGTGCTAAACCTATGACAAACCTTTGGACGCTCTTAGCCTTCTACACACTGTTATGGTCACCATAATACAGAAAGGATGTAGAGGCAGTGGAGTGGATCCAGAAAAGATTTGCAAGAATCATACCAAAAATGCATGGGTATACATATCAAGAAAGGATTGACAGGCTACATCTCTTTTCTCTTGAAGAAAAGAAGCTTGGGGATTGATTTAATAGATGTCTGTAAAAATTATGGAACTTAGTGGCAGAGGGATAACAAAAAGGACATCTTGTTAATTAGGGAAGAGCTTAACTAGAGATGTTCAAAATAAGTTAGCTATCTAGATATCCAGTCGGGAATTCAGAGGAAACTTCTTCACCCAAAGCAAATAATGTGGATGCATGAAAGAGAAAACTAAATTGATGTAGGAGGGACACTAGAATAGTTGGTTATCATGGAAGATTTAAGTGGAAAAAGATGGAAAGAAGCTCAAGTGGAGTATAAACACTAGCATGCATTGTTTGGATACAATGACTTGTTTTTTTGCTATGTATCCTATGTAATTATATATTATGTGCATTGTACGGAAGGGAAAAGCATGAAACAGCTACCCAGATTCTAGATTTAGGCAAGGCTTCAATGCAGTGAAACTGAGGCTGTTCAAAGCTAACTGAGTAAATGTGTTAATAGGTAAAATGATAGATCAGTGGGAGGGATTCAAAAACATAATTACGTGATCCAGAATCAATTTAAACTCCTACATTTCTGGAACTTTACTTCGAAAAATAAATCAGCCATGGATGACTAAGACACCACATAAAACATGAAAATGAAATATGAAAGCAAGGTACAGAGAAAGGTACAAAGAACAACAATAGGTTACAAAACGGCAAGTAAAAACTATATTAAAAAAAGTAGAATGAATAGTGATTTTTAAGGGATATCATAATGAACACAGAAATTTTTAAAATTGTTAGTAGAAAAAACTGATGACGATGATATTATCAATGCAAACAAGGAAATGGCAAATATATGAATAATTACTTCGTAACAGTATTTCATTCAGGGAAGAGATCAGGATCCACAACGTCCCAAGAAAACAAATATTTAATCAGGGACAGGGATGGACTGAAATTGATACAAACAAAGAAAAAAATAATGATGAAAATAGTGGTAGTAAAGAGTGACTAGTCTGAAGAGCCAAATAGTTTCTGAGCCAGGATTTAAAAGGAGTAGAGTCATATAGTCTTGGAGTCATACAGCATGGAAACAGACTGTTTCGACCAACTAGTCCACACCAACCACATTCCTAAACTAAAGTAGTCCCACCTTACTGTGTTTGGCCGATATCCCTCCAAACCTTTCCTATTCTGTACTTATCCAAATGTCTTTTAAACATGTTAAGTGTATCTGCATCCACCTCTCCCCCGGCCGTTCATTTCATGCATTAACCATTCTCTGTGTAAGAAAGTTGCCCCTCATGTCCTTTTTAAATCTTTCTCCTCTCACCTTAAAAATATGCCTCCTATTTTTGAACTCTCCCACCCTAGGGAAAATACCTTTGCCGTTCACCTTATGTATGCCCCTCATGATTTTATAAATGTTTATAAGGTCACCCCTCACTCAACCTGCTACCTGCTCTGGTGAAAGAAGTCCCAACCTATCCTTATAATTCAAAACCTCCATTCCCAGCAACAACCTGCTAAATCTTTTCTGAACCCTGTACAGTTTCCTATAACAAGGTGACCAGAACTGCACACAATACTCCGGAATTAGGTAAGAATATTACAGACAAAGTGCAATTGATTTGGGAACCATTCTATAGATTGAAAATTGGCCTGTCTTTCCGCTATTCAAGAAAGATCACAAAAGAAAACCAGAAAATTATAGCCTAACGCCTGTTGTCAGATAATGACTGTAGTTTATCATTCAGTACAGGGTGATTGAACATCTTGAAAATGTCAGGTGAGAGCCAGAATGGATTTTATAGGGTAAATTGTACCTAACTCGATTGATTTTGTTTTGACGAGGTGACTGAAGTAGTGTCTGTGGGTATTGTTGAAATGAACATCCAAAAGACGTATGATAGAATCTTTTGTAACAGATTGTTAGCTAAAGATTAATCTCAAGGAATTCAAGGCAAATTATTGCTCTGGATAGAAAATTGGCTGAATGGAAGAGTCAGTTTAGGGCTAATGGGCAGCTACTCCAATTCTTAGGCTGTGACTTGTGGTGGCTAGCACAGTTTTGTGTTGGGGGCCCAATTATTCATGTACTTCTTAATAACTTGGAACAGAATAGAAGACTACATATCTAAATTTTCCAATGAAACAAATGGATGCCAATGGTAAGTAGTGCAGATGGAAGCATAGCATTTACAAAAAGATAATAGTAGATTAAATAAATATTGAAAAAAATGTTGGCAAATAGTTGTCAATATAGACAACTATGTGATCACCTACTCTGGAGTTAAAATGATACACAATAATGCTTTCTAAATGAAGAAATAATAGAAACAGTGAAAGTCTGAACAGACTTGGGAATCTGGGTGCATACATTGTGAAATGTCGTGAACAACTATATAAAAAAAATCAAACAGCTGATGAATGTTGGCCTTTATATCTTGAGGAATAGAATACAAGTGAGTAAAGGTCAGGCTTCCAGTGTAAAATAGGCCCTAGTTGGACCATACCTGGAACAGTGAGCAGTCCTGGTAACTGTAACTGAGTAAATATATTTTGGCCTCAGAGGGAGTTTATTCTAGATTTATGAGCTATCTGAACACCAGGGTTGAATTTTGAGGCGTGATTACACATAGTAGTATTCTTTGTAATTTAGGAGGTTAACGTACCTTGATTCAAGTTTCCCAAGATGTTAAGGAAACAGATAAGATACACCGAGAGAAATTACTCTGATAATTGGGGACTCTAGGATTATGGGGCATGGTCTAAAAGTTAGTGACAAGAGTAAAATTGTGAAATCTTTCCACACAAAGAGTGGTATAAAAGTTTGTAATTCTTGTTTACAAACATCAGTTGTTATTTCTAAAGCTCAGATTGCTTTTTGTCATCCAAAGTTTTAAAGGGTTTGGGTCAAGAGCAAATGCATGCAGGCCATTCATGATTTGAAGGGTTAAGTGACCTACTCCTATCCCTGTGAAGGAAAAGTTACCTGAAGCATTAGAAAATGTACAAGAGAGAAAAGATATATCATTCAGTTTGGGACCATTTGTGACATTGCTAGGAAGCAAGTAATATATGCACAGCAAGGTTGTATTTCCACCAAATACATTTTGACAATCGTTTTGCATTCTCCAGGTTCCGAGTCTTCCAGTAGCGCAGGCTCCTCAGGTTCATTGTCACGGAACCATCAGCCACTACAGAGTGCAACTGTTGTCCCAGCACCAGTCAGCTCTACAGGATCAGTCTCCTACCCAGACGGTGGAATGGGTGGACAGGTGACACCTACCAACACCAGCTACATTTTGCTTCCTTTGGAAGCTACAGGTATACCACCTGGCAGTATTCTGTTAAACCCACACACAGGTTAGTGCAGCTGTTACTACATCTAAAGACAAATAAAAACCCAAGCAATATTTGTGACCATCCATAGTTATCCTTTTTTCATAAACATGTAAAGAATAACAATCTGCTTATTAACTGATAAAAACCTGTTTCTTTTTTAAAAAAATGCTTTATGCATGTACATATGTATGTATTAAATACAATCTCAGTGATAAAACGATAGTTATGGATGCTCCCTGATATGTATTATATTAGAGTGAAGTTTTTTGCAGTATCTCTGACCTTACCTTTTAATTGGGTGGGAATGCAGAGAAGGATAAAGGAAAGGGGAGTGACATACTGCAGCTGAAACCCAACACCCACAGAGCTCAAAGGTTCTAACCTCCCAAACAAAAAAAAAATCCAAAGAAGATTCTCGAACAACACAATTAAAACTAGCCACCAACTGGCCCATTATTCAATTAAGTTCGTCCTTTGCCTACTTAAATGTTCTTTTCCATTTGAAATCTGAAGCAATGCTGGCTATAGGCTAAGTACAGATTGAAATACGTCCTGCTTCATTCTGGCCTACACTATCAAATCATAGTTTCTGCTTTTTTTAAATACACCCACTCAGTCATATTTGGGAGTGTATGTCTCACAGAAGTGATTATCAATATAATTGCACAAGTAGGCAGAGATCAGCCAGTATTCATTACAATTCTTTCCTTTTGCTCCTTGCTTCTCAATAGCTAAAAGATGGAAAATAGAGAGGGAATCTTACCATTAAATCCTAAAAGGAGATCTGAACTTTGAGAAAGTGTAAGAGATAACAAGGTGTAGAGCTGGATGAACACAGCAGGCCAAGCAGCATCAGAGGAGCAGGAAGGCTGACGTTTCGGGCCTAGACCCTTCTTCAGAAATGGGGGAGGGGAAGGGGATACTGAAATAAATAGGGAGAGAGGGGGAGGCAGATAGACGATGGATAAAGGAGAAGATAGGTGGAGAGGAGACAGACAGGTCAGAGAGGCTGGGATGGAGCTAGTAAAGGTGAGTGTGGATGGGGAGTTAGGGAGGGGATAGGTCAGTC